TGTTGCGCTGTGCGGAAGAAAAAGAAAGACGAAACTCACTACCGCTACTCCGTCGCACATTGCGCCCATTGGCAATTGAAAGCACCGGTAGTCTGTGTCGACGTTGAAACCTCAGTTGCGATCCAACCCCTTTGACAGGTGAAAAATCGGCGTTTCTGTGACTCGGTCTGGTACAATTTGGGATATTCCCCGGAGATACCCCTGCTTTGTTGGAGTTTTCCTTGGTTTCTGTTGGTCCGATCTTCACGACGGACCACATACCTATACCTCGAATTCTCGCCTTGACGGCCCTTTTCCTTCTCCCCCGACAGGTCTTCCTGTTCGGCTTATATCATATATCATAAACAAACTCAAGAAAGGAAGAGAGGCGCGAGACTTCTCTTCCCCCGCTCTCAATTACACACCCGATTCTATACTACCTCTTGTCGCGAATCATCGCATGTTCCTCACCCAGTAACCGCGGCGATGCTTATCGATGGCGAGAAGTGGGCTTGTGAAGCTTGCGTCCGGGGTCACCGGGTCAGCAGCTGTCACCACAGTGGTAGGTGGTCCATGCGGAGGTCCTCCGCGTCGAGTCTTGCGATCGCGTTGTTCGCTAACCTGGCTGCTGCAGACCGCCCCTTGACCCACATCAACAAAAAAGGCCGCCCAGTCTCCCAATGCGCTCACTGTCGCGGCCTACGCAAGTCACGGACAACCCACACCAAGTGCGAGTGTGGTGATAAGAAAAAGCACAGCCACAAGAATGACACAGATCCCCATGCTGCTGATAAGCGGGATCTCAAGCGTGAGCATGATGGTGTTGGTCGATCGGTTCATTGTTTTCTGATATGGATTTTACAGAGGACTCCCGTCCGAGATGTGGCTGCACTCATGGACAGCGCTGTACTTGCGCGCTGAAAAAGGAACCCCACCTGGATACCGTCCCGGAGACCGGCCTTCCGCCGCCGCCAGCCACGGCTTTGTTGGATCAGCCCAAGAAGCCCCAGCTGACGTCTACCAAATCGGAGAGCACTCTCACCGTTTTCCGGGATGGTCATCACAAACCGGCTCACAAGCATAATGACATGGCTCACAAGTGTGGTCTGCCCTACACGATACCTCGTTCCCACACCATTCATTCGACGTGCGACGTGGCTCGCCGCTCGGTTGACCATCTTCCTCTGGCCCAGCAGACCTTGCTTAACGAATGTCTGGCGAACCAGCAGCCCCCCGAGCAGTTGACCAGCCACCGACTCCATCGCCGGGTCAAGTCCGAACATGGGTCCCCGGAGAGTGCCCCCGTCGTGCCGCCGAGCGCCGTTCCGACGACTGTTCCCCCACTCGACCTCTCGTCGTTTTTCCCACCACCCCAGACTATGGAGAAGCCCAGCGACATTAGTGTCCCCGGACCGGTCTCCACCATGCCTATGGCGAAGACTCCCCTGGATCAGCTGGTGACCAGCGGCTTGCCTCTTGATGTCCCGTCATATTCTACTTTCCCAACCACAGCCACGTCCCCTGTCAATTGCATGGCCTTCCAAGATCCTTATAAGGAGGCCTACTTTACCTCGCCGGACAGCGAAATGCCCATTGGATTCAGCGCTCCCCCTGTGGACTGGTCGAGCTTCCCCCTGTATTCGGACGTCCCAGCCGCGGCCAGCACGCAAGCTCCCTCCTACGCAAGCTTCGACTACAATGCGATGGGCCCCGGCTTTCCGGCCCCTTCTTCATCTGGAGACATCTCGGAAGTGGACGACTTTGCCCCTCTCTCCGGCCTCGGCCGTACGGGTAGTGACCTCCACGATTTGACCAGTGTAAGCGAGGGCTCGGACATCGACCATTATCGGATTAGCTCGGCGTCGTCATTCATCGGTCTGCCCCAAGCTCAGCTTCTGTCATCCAATAATCTCGAGTCGATCGACATCGACGACTTCCTCAAGTCAGCCAACGAATCCACCGCCGCGCTCGAGCATCAGCTCCAGGCGAACATGGGGATGGAGTCCAAGCCGCTCCCCTCGCAAGATGCCTTTGTTGCCATGTCGACTCCTGAAGCGTACAAACCCATGACCACCCCGACGGCCAGCATGCCCATGACAACGTCTGCAACGGATTCGATGTGGCCCGTGGGGCTGTACGATTCCAGCGCGACCTCGATGGACGAGAACAACACGGAGGCCAATTTCTTCGTGCAACCCTGGGTGCAGTAGGGGTTCAATTACCGATAGTCCTTGTGGTCTGCTAGCAGCACCTTACCACCACCTCCACACCGTCTGAGTGACGACCACCAACGTCTTCATGACCTTGATGAGAGATGATGATAAATGCCTGATTCTTGTTGTTCGATTAGCCCAGTCCGCGAGTGACACTAAACTATAGCATCAATTGATCTACAGATTTACTTTTTTTGGATTTCACGTCCGTTTGTTCCCTTGAGTTTATAGACTCTGTCAGCGGCGACAGTTTCACAGTCTGTCTGTGGCTTTTCATTTACATTACATAACGTACATACTCGTCATATAGATATCATATCTAACCAATAGACCTGTTTACTGGCACACTGGCCACGAAAGAAAACCCGTTTCGAGTATGAGATCACCTGCCCCTCGTCCCGGTGCAAAACCGTGTATAAGCTCGACTCCACCGGGCTGGACTCCGCAGAACGCAGAACGCCGAACGCAGAACGCCGAACATAGCGGTGAGCCTCACAGGGAATGAGGTACCCTCCAAAGCTCAGAGCAGCGGTGTATTAGTGCATTCTGCAGCTTGCAGTAACTTCACAGGAGGTATGCGTATGCCATCCGTACTGTACAGTAGAGCTTCATCCATCCATCACTCATTGACCTGTTAAGAACCCAACCAATGACCGACCTTGCCGAATAGCCGGCTGTCCACGCTCGAGACATTGCTTTTTGTTTGCGATGCCCGCTCTTGTTACACCGTCGCTTCGATTTGTGCGACGTCGCGGCCGTGGCCGTCTGGGATACAGTATGGTCATCGCTCGGGCGAGATCATGATCACGCGGGAGGGAGGGTTGAAGATGGTTAACAGGATGGTGAACAGTATTCTCGTGTACTGTGTGGCTAGACCGAGGAAGAAAGCGTATACGTATACACCGCATCTACACCTGTTTCCTCTTTGGGGGGATTTTGGGGGGGGGGAACGGCGGAGGATTACTGTGTATTCCTTATTGGGAACAGTTCTCACCGATTTAGATGTTCGGTTCTGATACCTATCTCCTGTGATGTGGGGGGGGGGGGGGGGGTCATACGGTAGTAGGTGGGGGTTTTTGTTTAGGACGTGGTGGAGGGTTTTGTTGTTTGTGTAGTGTACAGTAAGGACTGGTCAGTCGGCTTCTGCTGCTACAAAACAACTCCAGAGTTTCAGTAGTGTTTGGTCGAGTCGGTTGATTTGCTGTGGTGTTGAATGGGCGTGTATGTCTATAGTACAGTACATCCCTGTGCACTATCTATAAAGATACAGCACACACCGCAGCCTACCCTACCCTACATTGACCTCTATACTTGCTCGATAGATAGCCTCAAGTGGACGAGCAGAGCAGCGCAGAGCAGAGCAAATCCCACCCCTACGCTCCGAACTGTCAGCATACATCTCCCAAACAAACCGACTCAGACACAATGTGCACAACCCGGGCCAGCGCAATTGCCAACCCACCTAGGATTCTGTCGGCTTATCGGTTTAGTTTGCTCCACCGTAGTCCACGAAACTTCCTCCGCACCCCCCCAGAAACGAAATAGAAAGCCAAGTCACGACAAGCCTTACACCACGAAAGCTTGTTGGCGGTCCCTTGCATTTCGGGGGCGAAGAGGGTGGTTAAATTGGCGGGTTGGGTCATACACCCAAAGACACAGGGGAGCAGCAGCAGCAGCAGCAGCAGCCGGGGGGTAGAGGGGAGGAGGGGGAGGAGGAGGGCTTATGCATGGATGGATGTGTATGCAGGCCGGGTGGAGTCGATGATGGATGGGTGCGTGTGTCGTGTGTGTGGGTGGATGGATGGATTGGAGGCGGTAAATGCCTCACCACCGTATTTTGTTCGATCCGTGTTTCGCGGGGTGTGGTCTGTGCTGGATATGTTTCACCTGGGCTGAATACTAGTAGAGAGAGATATCGGGATGGGGGGAGTAAGCATACGAGGGGATGCGGTTGTGGATGGGTTCTGAACGTGGGTGGTCCTGTACTATATGTTTTGGATAGTTTTGCGCAACAGTTACGTATTTATATCATTAGGCAGTTGAGTGGCTACAGAATGATCTGTACATCTTGAGATTGATATTTTGTCACTTTGTAATAGAAATCTTGGTAGTATATACTTTAAGGACACAGTACTGTAAAATGCTCTGATTTTCCCCAAGCGGTTCAAACGTGACACGATTGACAGCTTCATAAACGACAGCTACACTTCCATTCATGCTAGTTGGAGCCGGACCTGTACAAGAAAGTATTGTACTATACTTACCAAAATTAGAACGCAGTCAGATGTGTACGTATAGTACGGATTGCAAGGCTGCTATGTCCGATCACTAACTGACAAACAGGCTCACTAGCACTCCTCAAGAGAAGTTCCGTATCTGTAACAATGACTGGCATGCCCACCCCCAAAGGCGAGGCGAAGAGGGCATGAGTTTGTGTGCTTGTTATCTCAAGCAAGTCCGCACGGTTGTTTCATCCCACTGCACGCTGCCAAGGAGGGAAAATCATGCATGCGTCGTTAGCGACAAGTACGCTTTATACGCCGGAGGAATCTGTCCCAGGGTCATTTTCTCCCCTCCCTTGGTCAGAAGATTCCCGCTTGATTAGCTTTGGGGAGCAAAGTCTTGTTTACATTGAGTGTTTACAGATTTCTGGCGCTTTCAAGCTAACATTGACAGTTCAATTCAACCAATTAAACCAATTAGGGGCTTATTAATTCCATTACATATTATGATCTAATTAAACATAATGTTAGTACAGCGCCGAAGCTGCTAAGAAAGTACCAGAGAGCTTACAAAATTCAACCAGGATTCCTACATTCTTCTCGAAGGCTCCGCCGTTGCCTCAGTGTCCTTGTCCTTGTCCTTGCCCTTGCCCTGGGGCTTGAGAGTGTCCTTGAGTCTGGCTCTGACCCTGGCCTTGACCTTGGGCGGAACCCTGACTGGGCTTCTGTCCCTGTCCCTGGGTCTGTCCTTGGCTCTGAGCGTAACCTTGAGTTGTGTTCTGTCCTTGGGTCTGCTGTCCTTGGGTCTGTACCTTTCCTTGGCTTTGGCTCTGGGCAGAACCTTGACTGGGCTTCTGTCCCTGTCCCTGGGTCTGTGGCTGTCCCTGGGCCTGACTCTTTCCTTGGGGCTGGCTCTGTCCTTGGCTTTGACCTTGGGTGGAGGCTTGACTTGGCTTTTGTCCCTGTCCCTGGGTCTGTGCTTGCCCTTGGCCCTGGGCGTATCCCTGGGTCGGGTTCTGTCCTTGCCCTTCAGGCTGAGCGGATCCGTGAGTCTGTCCCTGTGCCTGGGTCTGTCCCTTTCCTTGGGTTTGGCTCTGTCCTTGACCTTGGCCCGGGGCGGAACCTTGACTTGGCTTCTGTGCCTGGGTCTGACTCTTTCCTTGGGTCTGTGCCTGCCCAGGTTGAGACTTTCCAGATCCAGCAGCAGATGAACCGCCCTGAGGAGTTTGGCCGGAGCTCGTGGTAGGATCAGATGGTGATGCGGTGCCCTTAGATTGACCTGCGGAAGACTTTCCAGCACCGCCGCTAGTCTGGCCCTGGGTGTCCGGGCCTGCCATAGGCCCGTTGTAGACAGGATCGCCCCCGGGACCGACGCCGCTGGAATAGCCTTGAGAGGCGGAGCTCTGACCTTGAGGAGAAGCGCTTCCGTATCCAGATGACTGACCCTGAGGGGTGGGGCTACCGTGTCCTGAGGACTGTCCCTGAGGAATTGAGCTAGTGGATCCCGAAGATTGACCTTGAGGAGCGGAGCTACCGTAAGCCGATGATTGACCTTGAGGAGTAGAGATTCCGGAGCTAGAGCCAGAAGACTGGCCTTGCGGAGCGGAGCTACCGTAAGCCGATGATTGACCTTGAGGAGTAGAGCTTCCAGAGCTAGAGCCAGAAGACTGGCCTTGCGGAGTAGAGCTGCCGTAGCCGGAGGACTGGCTTTGAGCAGTGGTTCCAAGGTATCCAGCAGCTGCAGATTGACCCTTTGGCACAGTGCCAGCATAGCTTGAAGCTACAGACTGACCCTTGGAGCTGGATTCAGTGGCACTAGTCGGAGCAGCGGCTTGGCTCTGAGAAGGAAACCCTCCCGTGTAGCTTGAGGGAGTCGACTCATCCTCGTCACTAGATGCTGTTCCAACAGGGTTGTAGCCCGGGGGAAGCAATTCGCTAGTAGAATCCAGACCATACTGGTCGGCGAGCTGGGAACTGATTGAGCCTGGGTCCAGAGATTGACTTTGAGGAATCACTGCGCTTCCCGTGTTAGGGGACTGAACCTTGGGCCGTGTTCCGCTAGGCGCGCCGTTGCTGGTCGTCGAACCAGGGCGAGTGGATTGATCCTGGGGACGCGCGCCGTTGGATGCTCCTGTGTTCGCAGACTGGCTTTGAGGGCGTCCTTCACTAGGCTTTCCTGCCGTCGCGCTTGATCCTTCGGAGCCTGGTTGTGCGCGAGGATACGCGCTGTTGGCTCCGGTGTTTGTGGATGGAACCACTGGAGCCGAATTATCTTGGGGACGTGCACCGCTAGATGCTCCTTTGTTCGACGTGGAACTCTGAGGACGCCCTGCGACAGAGGCGCCGGTGTTGGAAGTGGAACCTTGCTGCGCTGTTTGTCCCTGAGGCCGAACGCCACTAGACGCTCCAGTGTTAGAGGTTGAACCCTGCGAAGAGGTTTGTCCCTGAGGGCGCGCTCCAGAAGATACCCCGTTGTTCGCAGTCGATCCTTGAGGGGTCACTGGGACACCCGGGAAATTCCCGGTGGCTGGTACAGATCCACTGCTGGAACTCTGCGGGACAGGTTGCCCGTATTGAGCCAATTGGTCATCATCCTCGGATTGTCCGAAGGGGTTCAATTGTCCAAAAGGAAACGCTTGATCGGAGGAAGTAGAAGCACCATACCCTGAGGATTGACCAAAAGGCGTAGGCTGACTCGCCGAATTTGCTCCGCTGTATGCGGCAGTGCTCGTAGCAGACGCTGGGTGGGTCGGCTGGCTCTGAGAAGGGGCGCTCGGAAGACCAGTGTTCTGATCTCCAAGAGCCGTCTGTCCGTTGGGGATAGGCTGGCTCTGACTAGATAGACTGCTGTAACCGCCAGAGCTTTGACCTCCAGCACTAGGATGGTCTCCGACAGCCGTGGTAGTCGGATACGTAGCCGGTTTGGTAGTCGCAGAGCTTGAGGAAGTGGTGGAAGCGCCCGCGGCTGTTGCTGCGGCAGTCGTGGGTGGGAAACCGTTGACAGCAGCTCCATTGATCATTGCTGGTGCATGATAGTTGGCGGTACCCAGGTCCTTTGCCGCAGAGCTAGGCGCGGAAATAGGTACTCTCAACGAAGAGCTGCTGGATGGGACATGTACCGAGGCCGACGAGACTGCGGCAGAGCTGGACCACTGGACAGCATGACTTGAAGACGGTGACGGGGAGGCTCGCTTCTCAAACGCATCATGAAGGGGCAGGGCCATGATCGAGCCGCAAAACCCCAAGATGAGATTCGCTGTCTGGACCTTCATGGCGAAGACTTGTTCCGAATACCAATCGCTATATCGAGAAGATCAACACCTGTCTGAATGTGAAATACCCCAGTCCCCACACAAATGAAAGACAAGGGTCGGAATTATAGCTGAAGGGGGACAAGACGTTCTGACAGAGCACGAGGGATCGAGCTCGAGCAAACCCACGGGGAAAGTGGATCTTAAATAAATCAAACAAGACAGTAGCTTGGTACTTCGGTTCTGTTTATGGCCTCTTGCCCAGTGATTTCCAACTCATGACCCCCTTGAATTAGGGTCCCTTGATAGCCAAACATTTGAGCTTCGAGGCCATATGGTCGCCCCACTATGATAGGGTACCGTTCAATAGAAGGCTATCAGTGGATAGTGGTAGTTGCCAGGCTGGGCTAGCACGTCATAGAATCCTACCTTTCCTGATGCGATGCTCAACGATCGAATAAGGCAAGCGGGATACATACCTCTTGGCCCAGGGCAACCACGGCGACAAGAGGACACAGAGGGTAAACAATCACCTCAGTCGCACATGGAGCTGCGCTGTGTTGACCGGCCTCGAGTCGTCAAGTATTTTCCAAACCTATTATCAAGCCGGGCCTAGCATAGGAAACTGAATTCCTGGTGCAGATCATGTTCCTTTTGATTCCTTAGGCTCGTATTGTAGCCGTTGGAATGTAGTATTGCACGCATATTTTGTTTGTTTGTGGCATCCCTTGATTCCTGGAGTACGTAGACTTTCAGGAACACAAAGCTTCGGTTCTTTGTCCTAATCAGAATTAAGTTTCACAGTTTAGTCTATAGGCCCATTAATAGACCAACCTTCAGTGGCTTGGTACCTTGAAGTAGTCATTGATCATCCGAGCACGGATCAGGCTCATGCTGTACACATAGCCGCTGCCATTGGCAGGCACGATAAGAGCGACCAATGAAAGAGATTAACCGCAAGCACTGATGCTTGGGGAGGGGCATTGTTTTGTCTTCGTTGGGTCAAGCCAGCGAAGTGCAGCAGTTGGACGTCACCTAGTGTCGCGCAAGATGTATTGAGCTGGCTCGATTTACGGTAAATTGTCTCGGTGTTCATCTTGAACACCAGCGATCTGCCGAGTCATAGAGCGAATCACCTGAAGTGTTCGAGAAGAGTGCTCTCCCGGTATAAGGCAAGGGACCACGACGCAGTGAGAATAGCCAGAGCGAGAGTATTGAACTGAACTGGAAATAGATTAGAGAGAGCGGAAAGCGGAAAGCGGAAAGCGGACCCTTGAAGGTGGATTTAAGGCGGAAGGATGGCCAAGCCCCGGACCCTTGGCAGAAATCACCCACCGCCTTTCGTCATGTTTCGGGTATCATTATCATCATCACCATTATCATAGTTATCACCAATCGTGCAAATACATCAGATCACAAGCTCTAAAGCGACTCAACTTTGTACCAATCTGTACCACAGGACAGTAAAAGTTCATCGATGGAGTCTTCTAACCTCAAAAGCTCAACTTCCAATCACCGCAAACAATCATTGCCTGACATATAGGCCTCCCAAACGTCTTTCTTATCATAAAGATTGATCATCCAGCATAGTACCATTATCATCATGAGCTCTACTAAGACCGCATTCGCTTACGAGGAGCCCTTAATCCACACCATCCTCAATCAGTCCGGCTTCCTGCTAGTCCTCAATCTGATCAACGTCTGCCTGGACAAGCTGCTCTACTGCGGGCTTATCGGCCAACTCTTCATCGGCATCCTCTGGGGTACCCCCGGCGCAAAATGGCTCAGCGACGACGCGGAGACCGTAATCCAGCAGCTCGGATACCTGGGCTTAATTCTGCTGGTCTATGAAGGAGGCCTGTCGACCTCACTTTCTTCGCTGCGAGCAAACCTCTTCCTCTCGGTCGCCGTGGCGTTGACCGGGATCGCTACCCCCATGGCTCTCTCTTTCATTCTCATGGAACTGGTCTCAGCAACCCCATTGCAAGCCTTTGCTGCTGGGGCGGCTCTCAGCGCTACTAGTCTGGGGACCACGTTTACTATTCTCTCCACCACGGACCTTGTCAAGACACGCCTGGGTGTTGTAACTACGAGTGCGGCGATGCTCGACGATGTCGTGGGGCTGGTAATGGTCCAAATCATCACGAACCTTGGTGGCGGCGGCGGCGGCGGCGGCGGCGGCGATTTGTTCAGTGCGGTGACTGTCATTCGGCCGATATTCGTATCGCTCGCCTTTGGTGTGGGCGTTGTGCTTGTTTGCCGGTTCGGTGTAAAGCCTACCCTGCGGGTCCTCTTTTCGCACCGGGAAAATTTTCCCAATGCTGTGAAGACAGTTCAGTTTTCTTTCCTGGCTTATACGTGTCTCTTGGTGGGGCTGGTCGCAGGTGCTACCTACGCAGGGACGTCCAGCTTGTTTGCTGCATATCTTGCGGGTGTGTCGGCGACGTGGATCAGTGACTTCTTCGAGCAAAGCTCGGCAGCCAAACATCACAATAGCTCTGGGTCTACTACTGGGTATGAATTAAGGACTCAGAACGCCTCCCTGGAGCGTGCGTTCAGCCAGCGAAGTGTGACTTCCGAGCGGAATGAGCAAGGAAACACCTCGCAATCCGGCGCCATGAGCTCGTCTTTCCCAGAATTTCCCACTGGCTCGCTGGTCTACGAGAGGTATTATGCGGAACCAGCCAAGAGAATCCTAATTCCTCTCTTTTTCGTAAGTCGTGTTCGTCCCTGATTTCACTATGACTCGACTGATGTAGGCTAGGCCTCGATCGGATTTGCTGTCCCGATCACGGAAATGTTCAAGGGAGATATTGTCTGGAGAGGAGTCATCTACGCCATCATCATGTTCTTCGGGAAAGTTGTGACAGGTACCTGGCTGGTCAGATTTACCTTCGGGCCGGTGTCGAGCTTGGCCCGGACATTGACAGCCTTCCTCTCCTACGTCAAACTGGTCTGTGCCCGTTCACCGCAGGCGAAAGTAGCAAAAGCGAAGCAAAAGACGACGAAGAGAGGGAACGCACGCTCGAGGGATTCGAACATTGCGGCCCCAGATCAATCCACAGATAAGGTCGCCGGTAGCGCTACATCGGCGTCAAACGGCAACAACTCTTCCGAGGGAGCTTCCGCCAGTTCAACTGCGAGAGATCATCCAGGGCCTGAACGTGCTAGCTCTTCTAGCTCTCTGCCTCCAAAGCCCAAATCCCTGTATCCATCGTCACTATTGGGTCTGGCAATGGTGGCGCGAGGGGAGATAGGCTATCTCATTGCGTCTCTCGCCGAATCAAAGGGGATCTTCGGTGAAGGACCAACTGGGGGCTCTTCAGACACTTATCTAGTCGTCGTCTGGGCAATCTCGATCTGCACCCTTCTTGGTCCCATTTGTGTGGGTACGCTCGTCCGAAGGGTAAAGACCCTGCAGCAACAGCGGAGCAACTCGGGTGGCCCAGATCCGCTGGGTGTGTGGGGCATTTGATTATAGTGGTTGTCCATATGCGATGGCGACCAACTAGTTAGGACTTGGTGAGAAGTCCAGTTGTGTATACCCGAGTTGCTGTATATAGACGCAAGCTAGAAATGCATAAACTGTATAGTGACGTTGGAACATAAGAGTCGAGTACAAAAATAGCAATGGAGATGGAAATGTTGCCAAAATTTAGGTATTTAGGTAAGATCTGGCTGCGAGTCTTGTCGACACACGTAAGAATCAGCTCCACGAGTTACAAAGATTACGTCCTTCAGCTTGCGTAAGCCTTCATTCAAAGCAAGTATACCTGACCAAGACAGATTATTGTCGGGACAACTGGGCGTTTCAGCTACTATAAAGAGGTGGCTCTCGGGGATAAAGTCTCTCTGTTCTTCGCCCACATGCATATCCGATAAGCACATGCGGATGAAGCAATGGGCCAGACATCGCACCAGATGAAGATCCCTAGGCTGACCTCGTTCCCTGTCGCTGAGAAGTCGATAGCTGGTTGAAATCTCCGTGTCACAGGAAGTCATCGGTCATTTTTAAAAGATACACTGGCTCCGATGCCGTTCGGTGACGGAACCGTTGATGCGGGCATCCACTATACCGTAAATCAATGTGCTTGTTGTGGTTGCATATCAAGAGAGAAAACAGTGCCTGATGACGATGTGCGACACATTCGTCATGATATCAGAGCCCATGAGAGATTATGTTCTCTGCCTGGTACCGTCCTGGCATATTGACATTCGAATTGACTTCCAGGCACCGTACCAGGATCCAAGCATCGACAACCTTCAGGAATATTTACTCCGGAATGGTTTCCCGTGTGCTTGCGACGGAGGTTGTACTCTTGACCAGTCGGCACATAAGTTCCGCGTTACTTTAGGAAACAATTTATTCAATAAACTGGTCGATGGTTAGAGTCTGTTGCTAGCTTCCAAAGTCAAGCTCCGTGCAATTGGGGCTCAATGATCCGCCCAGGTGAAGACTAATTGGAAGGTTTATTTCGCGTACTCACAACATGCTTGACTTTCGGGTCCAATATGACTTGTCAGGCCAGCAGTGCATGATCTGATGCGTAAGATTTGGTGACTGTCCACCGGGCACTTAGCAGTGAACAATAACTGCCTCGAGTGTCTGACGCTCGCGAAACGTTATGGTGTCGCGTAACTCAATTGTCCTAAATTCAATTGAGGACGCCCTAAAGGTCATTGTGACATGAAGGTCTTCCTCCTTCAGACAAATCAATTATTGTTCAACAGGGTTCTCTAGGTCGAGTAGTGGCTTGGCAGGAAATGGGCGCACTATTACAAGGGCGTTGAATGAAGAGGCATCGCACCGATCGGAAGCATTCAAAGCGTTGTTCTTTTAAGATTATGCACCTGTTGCCGCTATGTATGCATCAGCTGCTGTAGGTTGAGAAGGCTAGTGGAAGAGGGAAACCTTAGTCTAGATCCGGATTTCATCATTAAAACGCGACACGTACGGTGGCCTTCTCTCGAAGAAAGGAAGAGCTCCTTAGGTTATCGCGGACGAGCGATGAAACGTCATTTCCCCCGAAGGGAGGAGAGGCGTGCCCTGTTCACACGAGGAGAGGGGAGAGGGAGAGAGGGGATACTCCCTGGCTCGACGGATACCAAGCAAGCAGGAAATCTCCTGTCAACCTCCTGTCAACCTCCTCTCGAAACCCTTGGGTACTAGGCGCTGACCACTGTCACGAGAATCAGCAACTGAACGCGTCTCCATGGGAAAGTAGGTTCGATGAAGGGAATCGGACCAGTCACCTGCAGGAAGCCCCCCTCGCATGGGCGCACAACGGAAAGTGAACAACAACCACATCCCCCAAAATAGACAGTGTCCTTCCTTCTCTCCTTCGTACTGTTTTCTTTATCTTTTCTTTCCGATCGGTCAATCCGGTAGGAGAACGGAGAAACAAGGACGATGACAGGATAGTGGGAGGGGTGGAGAGGATAGAAAGGTAATTGTACCGTTAGATGTTGCGGTGTGGTGTGTGTGTGTGTGTGTGTCTGTGTGTGTGTCTGTGGTGTAGAAGAAGTTATAAAGCTGTCGTGTCCCAGACCAGGAAAACTGCCATCCATCTTTCAAAGCCAGTGTATAGCTTCCCCCTCCGAATTCAATTCTTGTATTGTCTGCTGTGCAGTTTCCCCTCTTCATTTCTAGTTCTAATATCCTCTGACCGCTTTTCACCATGCGTTCTTTGAGCCTCCTTCTTGCCATCGTCGCCTTTGCTGCTTCGGCTCTGGGTAGGGCTCCCAATTCTCAATCTTGCTGGCCCCGAGACTGACATGACTCTCCAGCTCTCACGATCGTTGCGCCCAAGGCTGGGGACCAGGTCGACTTCAGCAAGTCGTACAAATTTCAATGGACGACGGTTTCGTGCGTTTTCCTTCCCCAGATTGACCCGTCATGCATAAAACTGACAGGCTGAGCAGTTCTGATCCGGACGAGGTCACTCTGGTCCTGGTCAACATGGCCTCCCAGCCTACTGTCAACAAGGTCATCACCCAGAATGCGAAGGTCTCTGATGGCGCCTATACCGTGGACATGATCACCGGGATTCCTGTTGCGTATGTTGTATCCTTGACTCAAGGTGGAAGAGAGCAAGACTGACCAGGTCGATGATAGTAATGGCTACCAACTGAATGCTATTGCCAACACCACCCAGAACACTGGCATCTTGAGCCAGTCGAATCAGTTCAACGTGACCAAGGTTGGCAAAGTTGAGACGGGTAAGGATACTTCTAATTCAACACTATCATCATCATCATCATCATCATCATCACCATCATCACCATCACACACATCACAATCTACACCTACATCACCTACACCTACACCATCACCATCACCATCACCATCATCACCACTATCATCAGCACATGCACATGCATATGCACCACTATCTTCCAGCACCTACACCAGCACCAGATATAAGTCACGCCCCTGCATCTATCACAAGACCTCTTCACCATCTTCATCATATTCTAGCACCATTCCCTCCGCCTCCGTGAGACCGGGTGAGTACAGACAAGACATGAGATGAACGAAGTTATCTAACCTGGGTTCAATCTGTTTGTTACCTTGACAACAGCCACAGCATCTGCCACTACTGCTACTAAGACTGCTGCCTCCGCCACTGCCTCCGCCGGAGCTGCCGCAAGCGCAATGACCCTGAGCGGTCCCCTCGCCGTGCTCAGCGCCCTCGTGATGAGCATCTTCGCCGGAGCCTTGTAAACGACCCCAGTCCGAGGAAGGTACAGTGACACAATCCACCATTCAAGTCGCGACTTTCGCCATGCAATCCCGCTGTCACTGCACCGAACCATCACCCGCATCGTTTCGCCTCCGAGTCACGAATTCCCACCGCTCGGCCCCGGCGTCTGTCCCACCTACCCAGTCCTCTCCCACTCTATATTTAGAATCTAATCCAGGGTAAGGGTTGGTTGTATATACTCACTCATATCATCGCCAATCACCCTATGAGTGGTACACACAAATTGCTTTGCTTTGCTTTGCTTACCTTGTCAGCTTCTGCCTTCGAATTAGTTACATCACACCTCCTTGTCCCCCAAAACATACCAGCACGTCTGTTCACTTTTCATCTGCAACTGCATACCCTCATCATACTACCCATTTGATTTCCTCCAGAATTCCCCTCTCTGATTTCATGTTCTGTGATTCCTTTGCCATCATCCCTCCCCCTCCCCTTTTCTACCTACACGAGTAACGCAACAACGGTACATTATCCTGTCCATTGACCGAGCTATCCCACCTGTCAATTGACCGACGAAAGCACAACCCCCTGTTATCCTTTTATCATTTCAATGTATGAAGATGTTTGTGAGTCCTTGCTTGCAATCTTGCCCCTGATGATTGTTTTGTGAGGTTGATAGTCGATACTTTATCTAATCATTCACATTCCTTCTACTCCGTATACCGTAAACCCCCTGCCAATGTAGTGATAGTTCACCGTAGTATAGTTCCAAGCTCCTCATCTATTCATCAAGTTAGACTGCTTTCCTCCCTTCTATACTTGATCAATCGTTTGCCGTGATTTATCTCTAGGAAATTGTATCTCAAACGGACCAAAGGAGTTGCCTTTCCCGCGACTTGGAATAATGGCCTAAAGCAAAGGGGGGTGGAGCGTCAACAGATTTGAACTACAGCTCTTGGCTTGTTTAGCCTCGTGAAACCAGTCTAATAGCGCAGCCCTTCTTTATGGAACAACAATAGTTACAGACATCCAACGTGACTTGAAATTAGCGGTTTCATTTGGGTATAGATCTCATGAAGAAAAGAAACAAACCATGCAGATATTTACAAAAGATCAGGGATACGAATGGGACGACGTATGGCCTCCAGTTTTTGTTTCTCCTTCTCACACTGCTCGCTCAAAGAGATCCCATGACGGAGTCTCCCAGTGCGGAACCGGATCCCGACGCCGCGGCACTGGCGCTGAAAGCCGGGGATGAGGTGTGGTCGTAATAGTTCTCGTTGATGCCCTCGCGGGGACGGTCCCAGGTGCGGATATGACCTGCGGCGGGTTGAGGGTTAACGCGCGATTCGGATGAAGGAGATATCTTGTTTGCGGAGAGGGCTGGGGAAGGGTTGGGGAGGGGCTACCTTCAAGAGAGGATGTCATGATAGAGTTTTCTTGGAACCCAAGCCAGCAGATCGGGTCTTCTCCGACGATCTTGGACTGTAACGGTTTTTCTTAGCTGCCGGTCTGGGATGTTAGGAGACGGGGGAAAGAAAGCTCACCATAATCGGTGGCAACAGCGCCGTCCGCGCCCTAGGCTCGACGGGATGGCGAACGGTCGGGTCATAGCTGCTGTAGGTATCGGCGGTCTGTTGCGAGTCGGACCGGACTCGGTTGCCGGCACTATCGGCGCGATGACGGTTGTTGAGTTGCGTGTTGGTTACGACCATGCTTGTCCGCTGGCGCGCGTTCGCTTGGTGCTGGCGGATGGTCAGTTTATGCAGCAAGCTTGGCTGATGGTGGGCATCTGGGGGTGCGGAATGGAAACATACCACTCGGGGACGGTGGAGCATGCCCACGCTGAAGTCCCACAGTAACAACCGGCAATCATCACCGACACTGCCGAATCGATAGTTTCTCTCGTCGCAGCGCCAGGGATCGAATGCTACCGCAGAAACCCATGAGTTGTGGCCTTGACATCGGGCTACGATCTTTCGTTCTGGTAAGGACCAGATCGTGACCAGATCATCTTGGCCGCCAGTCACTATGTATTTGCCGTCCGGCGACCAGCAAACACAAATTAGACCACCATAATAACTGCGAAAAATGTCAAGCACCCTAGCAGCAGTCAGCGACCTGTCTATGAACAATGGCGGTACCAAGGATAGCCTGCATACTCTTCTTTCAAGTAGTCCATCACCCGCAAAGACCCGTCCTCCAGAACAATGGCCAGGTGTCTGTGGTCCGGAGAGAACGCAAACTGGGAGATCTTCTGATTGGCGACTTTCCACAAGGAGACCGGGTTCGTCTTCTGATTCCTGGAGTTGACCGACTTCAGGATCTGCAATGGCTGCCGACTCGACGATTTCAGCATCTCAGCTGAGGGACTGTTAAGTTCGGGTGTGAAAAGTGCGTCCTCCTTCTCCTTATCGTAAACTACCAATTGGCCGTTGGCGTGGGCGGCCATGAAGAGATTCTCCGACCCCGGAATCCACTTAATATGAGTTACGGCAGAATTGGCAACAACCCCGTTCTTGTTGATACGCGCGTATTTCTGTGAGATCGGCTCGTACCAAATAATGTCCCCGGCCGATGAGCCCATGACGATGTCGATGTGCGACGAGCTCTTCGTCAATTCGTTGATATCGTGGCTCAGAATGTGCGCTTTTGTGAAGAGAATTTTCGCCAGCGGCTCTTCTTTTTGCTTCGAACTGAGATCCAACCACTGGAATGCGCGGTTGATGTTGGCGAATGCGAAAAAGGCGTCTGGGTTGCGATCGTTCAGACGTTTCGTCAACGCTTCATGGGTAATTACCCGTGATACAAACGACGAGCTGCTCTTAACAATGTTGTTCTTTGGTTTCCTCCTCTTGAGGCCTTCCTTAACCACTGGCGCGGCCAGCGCGGGGTTCCCATCGCCAAACAATGGTGCTGTGGCATGTCCGTTCAAAGAGTATGTAGGCGCCTTGCTTTGGTTGCTGACTTGAACTAAAGAGAGTTTCACGCCCGAGGTTGGCGGGGTCACGCCGGTCGCGAGAGGGTTCGGGTTCACGACAGGCGCTTCCGAGGGATGGGGCGGCGGGGTTGCGAGGTGGAGGTTGTCTTTGAGGTGATAGGTGCCTGTCGCAGGAATTCGTGTTAGTGGACTCTTGATCGCATGTCTTTTGTGGGTGCGGTAGAGCAAACGCACCTTCTCCAACCTGCAAAGAGCAACCGCCCTCGGGATGGCTGATGATGTTGTTTGTTTCTACCACAGGCACCGCCATGCCGTTTGATGCGCCAGCTGCATAGGCGACCGGGACGGTGTAGCGAGGTGGGGGAGGGGGGAGGACACTGAATTGAGGGATATCAGTCAGAAGGGAAGCCACGCAACAGAGCTGTCATATTTCGTCAAAGGCTGAGGAGGATGGGTCTGTCTCCGGAAACCCTCCAGGAACTCTGGCGCCGGACCTATGATGCTGCGGCACAAAGCGGAGATAAGGGAAACCAGACGGATAACCAGGGTGCGGTCGGGGTGGTGTGTCTTACAACATGGCTGCGGTTGCAACAGGGCCTCCACGGGAACCAATTGATGGTGAATACAAGGATCCTCCGGGGTTGGTATGATATAATCGGGGCGTGATATCACGAATTCAGTGAACGTAGCAATAGGCGGGCTAGTCAGGCAATCGTTGATTTCGGGATGGACAACGCTGGATATAAGTCCCCCAAGAGCGGCACCAGCGACGGGTGCCACTCAGGGCGGCTCTTTATACTGATATCGTTTATATAAAGGTGATGCTGAGAGGGCTAAATTTGCGCTTAGCCAGTATCGCAGGTCCTGATGGCGACAATCGGTAGCAGAGAGGTAGCTGGGCCGAGGAGGAAAGTTGGTCGAAACACTGGGGCAATCCGCGGGCGTCCCTGGGTAGTTTTAAGTAGACTTCGGGGCGGAGATCAAGAGGGCACAGGGGAAAGGGAGGGGGAGGGGAATTCCGGGCACGAATCGGCTGAATTTGTGTCTTGGGGAGAGAAGAGGTCGGAATGAAGCCAGAGTCACTTTGGAAGTTACTTGGAAGGAAGCCTGGCAGACGACAGACAGACAGACGGACGGACGGACGGCCGGGACCTGGGTGAGAGGCTGGAGCTGATGGGCAGCCAACCGGTGGTCATTGTTATTCCGGGGTTAGTTTACGTTAGTTCAGGACTATTATTTACACGGCTAGAGGCAAGTTCACACGTGGGGCCGGCCGGCAACTTTAGCATGAGGAGACTACGTAGCAGGAAAGTCCTCGAGCCGATCACGGCGGGGTTCACCACCAATGGTGCTCTAGCCTCTAGGGCTCCTTGTCCTTGTACCTGTCTACCTGACTTTGCAATGCTTTTTAATGCTTTCAGTTGATGTACGTTGTGTTCATAAAGGCTCCAATTGATGTACATGGTTTCGCACAATATCCTGGGGCATCAATAGAGAAGGCGGAGCAGGCTGGTAGGCAAACTGTCAAGGGTATCTGGTATCTAGGTTTACAACTATCGCTACAGGTTCACTGCTGGGGAACAAGAAGCGCCCTCAGACCCCACTACCACTAACTCTCCGCCAGATCATCACCGCTGCTGCCCCCGCGCAGACGACCGCCCCCAGTGCGATTCCCCACGACATCCACTTGCCCTCGACATCTTCCTCACTCCGTGGAAAGGCCGTGCTGGGTTCCATAGCCGCCTCGGCGATATGAACAAACACTTCTTGGATGGAACTCCACGTAGCGCTGACATGAAGTGGTGGACTGGGCATGTTCAGCATGGCCGTGTATTCATGAGGTTGATGCTCCGCCCGTTGGGTGGTTCGGTCCAAGTCCGCTTTAAGGGCAACAAACACACTCGCAAGCTCTTCCAAGTGCGGATACTTGGCCCGCAGCGCCGGAATATACGCAAAGGAATCGGGATCAGAAGAGTCGTACGTGTAAACAATGACATCGCACTGGTCGAGGAGCTTGACCTGATTCTCCAGGATTGCAGGCTCTAGCTCTCCGAGTTCGTCCAGGATCAGATAGCATTGCTTACCCCCAGGGAGCTCGACTGTATTCACAGCAGTTCGTGGCTGAATGGTGGGATGATATGTGGCGCTAAATCCTCTCGAGAGGAACGCATCCAACAAAGCCGATTTGCCGGATCCCGGAGCTCCAAGCACGTGGCCAAGAACGACATTGCGCCCCACGCGTCCGGGCCGTCTCCTTCGCTTTCGTGGCCGCGTGACTTTAAGCGCCGCCGTTGTCGAAGGATTGCTGCGGTCGGATGACTCGAATCCCAAGTAGGCCAAATACTCGAGCGTGGTCTTGGGCGATGTGAAAGTGGTCATACTCCACTGTGCAAGCCAACCCTGAAGGGTGACATGACCGGCCTCGTTCCGAACGGTGGAAGATGGGAATGAGCCATCCGCCCAAGAGGCAGGCAACCCTGGTGTCGGCGCAAACAGCGACGCCAACTCGGCGTCATTCAGTCCACCATCATTATCCTTGTCGGAGAGGAGAAAAAGGTTAACAAAGAAACGATAGCCCTCTGGCGACAGCTCGGCTGATGCGTAAGGGGGAACTTCAAATCTCGGATGGAGGAAGCTTTCTTGAAGGGACAAGTTATCCGTGTACTGAAAAGCCCGCAGAATAATCCAGACCGTTTCGTGACGACCTTTCTCAGCATACATCTTGTTCAGATGAAGAAACCCACAGCAGTCAATGCCTGAGGGAGTGACCGAGTGAGGATGTGTCCTTTGGATGGTCTCCTTGATATGAACAAGATCTTCTTCACTCAGGGGCTTCTCGAAACAGCGCATCTGAAAGTCCTCCATCTCCTTGTCGCTAAGATAACCATCCCGATCTTTATCACTCAGATAGAATATGCGTTGTAGTGCGGCGACGGCAGCGGGTTTCAGGGCAGACTCCTTGGAATCGAAGAGCGGTGCGATGGGATGCGTGACGGCTTTTTGGCAGAGAAAGAAAGCCTCGTTGACATTTCGATGCTCGCGGGCACTGGTGCGTATACATGAATCGATCTCCTTGAACTCTGCCATCAGCGGGAGCATCTCCTCCTCAATGACTTGTGTCTCCGTGTGGTCCGCAGCCAGGTCGGACTTGTTCGCGCAAAGAACTACCGGTACATTGACCCCCAAGGAACGGAAATACGGCAGCCAGAACAGAGCGACTCTTTCGTAGCTGTAATGGTCCGAGTACACAAGTAGGATCACATTGGATTTTCTGATTTCCCTTCCCAAGTTATTGCGCTCTTGCGGGAGCGCAGAGGTGTCCACCACTGTTGTCGTTGTGACATTTTCGGGGGTTCCGATGGTCGGAGGTATGGTGATCTGGGGTAGGACGGGTTGAATCTTGTTTGTTACAAAGACACCTTTGACAAGAGAAGTGATCAAGCTGGACTTGCCAGTGCCTTCGTCTCCACAGACGCAGATTCGCACTGGAGTGCTGTCAGCAACCGTAGATCAGGGTCAATTGCGGTCGGCTTGTCGAACCTGTAGCCATCGTGAAATGTGTTAGAAATGCAGCTGCTATCACCCTTCTCTGATCATTGAGTCATTCCTTCCTGATGTTGCCGACATGGAAAACCAAGAGTACTGAGTATGTCTTGCTTGAAGAGAGAGGATTGGTGACGGAGATGATCAGCGGAACCTCGGCGGTGGCTGTGCCGTTCTCGCAGCCTCAGGTCTCGGTCGGAAAGACCGCATGGACGTGCAGTACTATACCGTCCAAATCTGTGCAACCCTTAATGCGCACACAGATATGGAAGCGAAAAGATGATCGCATCACATCAGCCTACCGAGCTATAAGGGTCGAGGATTTACTAGCGAGTTCAATGTGTCCGAATGACTCAATTGCTTGAGTTACGGCAGCCGGAAGTCAAGGAAGCCGACCGCAGCAACCACCCCAGCCACAGGATGTAATGGAGACAAACGAAAGCGCCTACTCTTTTGGGCTGAATATCGCGGGCCTGAGCACATCCTCAGGTTTTCTTTTCAATTAGACAGGCCAATGCTCACTCAGCGACTTTTCAACAGAGCATAGAGCCAGCGATATCAATTCCAGCGTGCTGCACCAAGTGCATGGTGCAGCAGTTGCTTTTGGTCAGCTTGAGTTGGTAAGTAGGAGAAGCATAGATCGTTTGCGAAAGCGAAGTGGATGTCAGCCCGTCATTTGGGTTCCACTTCCGGTCGCTCCCTCAAGACCAAAGCAACCTACGGTTATCAACACCTTTCTCTACTGCTCCCTGACTCTTAATTCTGTCTTTCATCCCACCCCCTCCTTCCTTACCTTACCCTCCCTTCCTCACTCTCGCCTCCCCCTTATTCACGGGTTTCTTAGGTCCGGAGTGGTCTTCAAGATGCCTCTCGGAATTCACAATCCGCTCCCTTCATCTCTGTCAAGTATGCATTAACTCCGCCCGCTTTCCAACTTCCCCGCAATCACTGGCGAGGCTATTGAGCGTGAACTAACCCCCGGACAACAGGCGAATGCAAGAAGGTTGGGAAAATTCTTACGTCCTTCGTGGACCCCCGACAAGCATTTGGACCTGATAAGGTCATTCCTCCTGAAATTCTAGCAGGCGCTAAAGTAAGTGGGCAAAAGAGCCTTCCTTTGTCATGGCCATTCCGTGGCGTTTTCGTCTCAGGCTGACCGCTCTGTCGCCAGGGTCTCGCCATTCTTACTGTCCTGAAAGCCGGCTTCCTGGGCTCCGCTCGCTTCGGTTCGGGGGTTGTTGTAGCCCGCCTCGCAGATGGCTCTTGGTCGGCTCCGTCGGCCATCGCGACAGCAGGTGCCGGGTTCGGGGGCCAGATAGGGTTTGAATTAACCGACTTCGTCTTCATCCTGAATGATGCTGCTGCTGTGCGCACGTTTTCTCAAGCGGGAACCTTGACACTGGGCGGTAATGTTTCGATTGCTGCTGGACCGATCGGACGCAACGCCGAGGCCGCAGGCGCTGCAAGTACGAAGGGTGTCGCGGCGGTGTTTTCATACTCGAAGACCAAGGGTCTCTTTGCCGGCGTGAGTCTGGAGGGAAGTATGCTGGTGGAGCGCAAGGATGCGAACGAGAAGATGTACAACAGTCGAGTGTCGGCCCGCCAGCTACTGAGCGGAACTATTCGGCCGCCTCCTGCCGCTGATCCTCTTCTACGTATCTTGAACTCGCGCGCTTTCTATGGCAACTCGAGACAAGGAGATACTATGTATAATGACATTCCTGTCTATGATGATAGCCATGATGATGTGGTATGGGAGGGTCGACGAGGCGATGCCTATGGAGAAGGTCTCCGGCGTGACCGGCCTGGGGTGAATGGCAACGACGACTATGAGTACCGGGATCGTCCTCGTCGTGCGAACACGTGGGCCGATGATATCTATGACCGACCTGCGGGAGGTTTGAGCCGGTCATCAACGACCCGTAACAGCAGCCGCCCGGATACCTACGAGTCTTTCAACCGCAGCCGTAGCAACACCGCCCCTATTGATGAAGATTATGTGTATTCCGACCGCAAACCCAGCCGTCCAACAGCCCCAAAGCCGATCTTTGGACAGAGGACGGGGGCTGCCCCTACACTCCGTCAGGACCAGGCAGTTGCGCTGTACACATTCGACGCTGATCAGGAAGGTGACCTGGGTTTCAAGAAAGGCGATATCATCACCATCCTCAAGCGGACTGACAAGGCAGAGGACTGGTGGACGGGGCGAATTGGAGACCGAGTTGGAATCTTTCCCAGGTAAGCATCACCGTCTGATCGAAACTCCTGCTCTGGATACTAACCTGCCATGCGTAGTAATTATGTCGACCCTGCTTAAAATCTTGATTCCCCTGCTTTAGTTTATGCGAAATGACATTTTTATGACATCCCTGCTTCTGTCTTTCCCTCAATGCCCTCCAGAATACTCGTCCCCCTTTTACCTTCCAGTTTCGCGTTGGCGATTTTCCTCTCTTGCCAATATGTCAGCTCTGCAATTCCAAGGGTCCGCTTTTGGCATTTCATATCAGCACCGGAGTTCAAATTGAGTTGACCAGTGAGCGCAGTTTTGCTTGCACGAATAGGTGATGACCCAGGTATTCACAGTTGTGGGTTGTGATCCCAACCGGGCTGTCCTTCGGGTGCGTGTGTTTGTGATTGTGCTTAGGTACTGCCTCCAATTTATACATAAGATGTTGTTTTCAGTATGGGATCAGCCGGCAGACCTGGCAGTGTTAGAAAGACTTCTCCTTCGTGGAGTTGAGTTGGAATGATTGGATAGGTCTCAGCCCCCTTTGTATTGGGGTTAGCTGCCGCTCAACTGACATACATCCACCCCCCTTGCAAGGGCGCCTGGCATTGACCACAAAGACTCTGGTGTGATGGATGGATGTCGCCAGAAAGTGGCTGGCTTGCTGTCGCCACCAGTTGTTTCTCCAGTGTAAGTTTCATAGGCATGTCCCTCCCTGTCCATCCGTCCATACCCCGTATGTTTGGGAGGTATCAATGGATGTACATTCTTCGAAGAGTTCGGAACCAAATATCCCCCTGCGGTACTGCATCCTTGAGTAAGCGAGGTCATCTGGTCCCCTCCGCCTGAGCACTTTCAATCATGGGCTAAGCGCACCGGATGGAGCACAGCTCCTCACGTGTAAGGCATAACAATAAGGTCTTGCCGTGAAGGAAGGGCGGGCAAATGAGGGAATGGAAAGCCGATAAACATTCCTGTCAGTTTCTTAATCCTTCTCGTGCTGCGACTTCATTTCATTAGCTTTCATTCCTCTCTTCATCCTTTTCTTGGCTACTACCTACGGGATACTACCGAAGGTGGGGGTGGGTCGTTTCCTTTGCTCCTCCCTGGCGAGGCTCAACAATACGAGACATCCTGTAGTGTGAACGTACTGTACAGGCCTCTGGCCGAACACTGGCAGCGTGATTTATCCACAGGGCAGCTCTACTTGGTGTCAAAGCCTGATTCATGAGGCCAGGAAGGCCTTTCAGCAACATTTTGCATGTTCCGATGACAGTCCCATCGTGAATCAAATGATACACCTCGAGCTCGATCGAAAAGCTGACAGCTGAAGGTTGCGTGGGTACCTCGTACTGTAGGCAAGGCAGGCGAGGAAAATCCCTAGTTAGCGTAACTGAGTATAGAAAGGCAGGAATTGAACAAGTGACATCCCTTGAAGCCCTCATGCTGCATCATGGGCCGCAGGGTTCCAACGAGCAGAATCGAAAAGGATGGAAACGGGCCAAGAGGGGAAATCTTGTGTTTTTAGGTAGTATATAATGGATTCCACATATATCTTAAGCCACAGGAAGTTCTTTGTCTAATGCAAAGGTACATGTACAGTACCAAACACCAAGTGAAGTAAGTGAGGGGAAGCATTTGACCATGGGGAACGACCGTGCCACTTGTCAATCCAAACCCACCCCAGCAGCACGGGGTAATGTTGATCATTGATCGCCTACTGCAAGCAAGCGCGCGAACGAACGAACGAACGGAGGAGGTGACCTGCCAGTTGATAAGTTTACTCCATACTGGATAGATCGATCGATCAGCTGTGGAGAGGGCGGGCGGGCTGAGTCAGCCGGTAGTTCGGGGCCTGCGCGGAATCCAATCCATTGATCAATTATTCATCCCATCCCATCATCCATCCATATACTTCCAAACTAAATTACTTCTACTCACCACTGGGCATCAACGGGGTTACTGTGGGAAACTTGGTCTTTTTTTTTTTTTTTTTTTCTTTTTTTTCTTGTTTCCCCCATTCCTCGTGGGGATTGTACCTGACAGAACTCAACGGTGTGCCTGAGATACTACTCCGTACCTACAGTACTGTACCTCGGAACCAAACAAACCCATCCAAACGGGAACCAGACAAGACGAATCTTCCAGATCCGACTGCGGTGGTGGTAAATGGACTGAGTAGACAGTATATGGGTCTTTCTCTGATACTCCGTACAGTCCGTCCACCCCACTCAGGAGTGTATTCTCCCCTGATTTTCCCACCTTTCTTCCTTCTTCTATACTTTTAAATTGCTGCTCTATCTCAGAAGAGTCAAGGACACCCTCACCTGTGTCGCGAGATAATATTAGTTGCTGGAATCTTCATCTATTTTTGTCCTGGTCGACTCCGATCATCGCGGCCAGACCGACCACCGAACCAACCACTTCTCGCAGGGACCACCGTCCACCATCACCACAACTGGAATCACCACTCATGATTACGGCTGCTCTTTTTTAGTACAATAATAATACTCAGTACAAGTGGTGCTGTGCAAGACAGACAGGCAGTGGTGGGCACAGTACTTACCTTAGGACTCTCCAACCTTTTACTACTTCCTACCTACCTACCTACCTACGAACGAGTAACTAAAACTACTTGGGAATTTCCCCATCTTTTTCTCTCATCCTTTCCCTATTATCCTTTTTCTTCACCACCAACCAAACAGCAACCACGGCCACGCTCTCCCTCCTCAGCCTCGTTCGCTGGCCCTCCTCCTCTTCCTCCTCCTCGTTCTCTCTCCTCTTCAATCCCTCTTTTCCTCTTCACCCCCTCCCCCTCCCTCCTCCCTCTCCACCTTCAACCGACTGCTCGTTACCATCCTTCCCTCCCTCCCTCCCGCCGTTGGCCGCCGGATGCCTAGCCGTCATCGCCCTTTCTCACTCCTGGTCACCCTGGTGGTTGCTCCTCTTCGTCGACAATACGTTCCCCCGCTCTGATGATTCCATGACTATCCTCTATTTGTCTATTTTTGCGACCCTGGTGGTACATTGACCTCCTCTCCACCAGGCGAAGTTCCTGGTCCTTTGTCAACCTCGGGACGCTTGCCTTTTAGCTTCCTCCCTCCCCTCAAATTATTTGCTCCCATGCAGGTGCGTCACGTTCTCTCCACCCCTGGTCCCTGTTAATCGCCCCATTCAACACTGGTGATGAGCAATTCTGTTTCTGCCTTTCGGTTTCCTGTCCTTCCACAGCTCTGCACTCGTGTTCGTTGCTGGTACCATTGCCTTTTGCCCCGTGGGTGGTGGGGTCATCAATGAACCCCCTGTTTCAACTATTTACAATTGCGGGATTGCGTCTAATAACCTCCCCTCTACGCGTAGGCTTCACCGAGCCCCTCTGAACCTGGAGGAGGATACGCGACGCGGCGAGGGCATGTCCCCCAACTGTCAATCAGCGACCCTAGTCACCATGTAACGGAAGCCATCGGGCACATGTACGAAGATGATTACGACAAACGCGATTCGCGGCGCCTCAGCTATATCTCCTCCCCTTTAAGTGAAGCGATCTCAATCATCCCTCCAAACCTTGCCGGCTGCGAATCTCCTACCTCTCCCCAAAATCTACAAGTGAAAAACCATCTGAGTGAAGCAAACCAACGGCAAGTGAATGGGCAAACATGGGCGCAAGGTTCCAAGTCTGTGGAGAGCAGCCCGACGTCTCCCGCCTCGACCGCCTCCCCCGGCTCCACCGACACCGCTACTACCTCGTTCCCTCTCAACGATATCGATTACGAGTCCAATCCAGCCGCCGTGGCACAAGAGCTGAGCAACTTGGCTGCAATCCGGCGGATGTCAATGGACGTGGCAGCCACCGGGGATCCCGACCTGCCGAGCTTTTCAGTGCCGTCGATCGCGCCCTCTCCCTCCGACGATGAGAATGATGCTGCCCGCCTTTTTTGGGTCCCCGCCCGGTTACACCCGGAGTTGGCACCCAAGGAGTTCAAATCCTTTCTCGAGAGTAAGGCAGATATGATCAAACGGAAATCCGGGGATTTCTCGACCTTAGGCTCGGATGGCGAAGGCATGCGAGGAGGACTGAGACGAAAGCGGTCCATGCTTTCAAGGCAGATCGACAGCTCTCATGGCTATACGGATGGCGCGGAGCGGCTTGAGCGTAAACGCTCACAGACACAAAAGGACTCATTGGGTCCCAACCTGCATGAGTTGGAAACCTTGGTCGATGACTCGAAATCGCGCACGCCGAGCGCTTCGTCAATTCTCAGCGATATCCAAAAACTTGGGTTATCGGCCGACGAAGATAGGCCGATACTTCCTCCAGCCCCTCCGGGTTACAGTCTTCGACGCTCAACAAGAACCCAATATCGCAAGGCTGGAAGCCTAAGAAAGGGAGAGAAAGCTCCATACTCCAAACGGGCAGGGAAATCGGCGGACGGAAACGACCCTACAGGCGGACAAGCAGCCATAGGTCTGACACGGGTATCGACTGATCCCACGCCGAGTGTAACACGGTCGCAAGCCTTGGCCAAGTCTACTCAAGGAACACCGCATACCCCTGACACAACATCTAGTTTTTCATCGGATCCGGCTTCCGAACCAACACCTTCAGTAAGTGACTCCGTTCTTCCCGATCCATCAGATCGGGCAAGCGCCCCTCCACCTGAACGTCAACAATGGCATTCGCGGATCAGCTCGAATGGACGCTCGACATTGAACATTCCATCCTCCGAACAGAGAATACCCGAAATAATTGAGACCCCGCCGCCCGAAAGCAATGCCACACCCCCGAGCCCGAGTTCCCCGCAGCACACCCCGCCCTCAAAGGGCCCTTCGGTAGCAGATCGATCACACGAGCGGCCCCCTAACAAACGTTCCGGACTCAGTCGCACACATGCCACGGATGCCGCCCCCACTCTTAACGAGTTCGCCAATAACCCACAGCCCTTGCCCGGTAATACTATGCGAACCGACAGTCTTTCATTTATCCCCACCGTGTCGGAAGATCGCAAGCCAGAGGAACGCAAGCCAGAAGAAAAGAAATCCGAATCGAAGAAGTCAAAGGACAAAAAGGAGTCCGAAGGAGGACGCAAATCGAGCTGGCACTGGCTTCTGGGCAACGAGGAGAAGGACAAGGATAAAGATAAGAAGAAAGACAAGGACAGCGAGTCGAAGAAGCACAAATCGAAGTCTGCGGACAAAGCACACGATGCATCTCACGCCCCACCGTTGTCGACCGAAACTATCCAGCGGGGACGCGAAAGCCTTGTCATGGACCGACTGGACCCCAAGCTAGAGGATGAACGACGCAAAGACAACACACGGAGAGCTTCCGGCGAATCGAAGAAAGAGAAGGAATCGGGACTATTCTCGTCCATCTTCGGTGGTAGTAGGAAGAAGAGCAACGGCGATAGCGGACATCATCACAAGAAGAGCTCCTCTCGGAACTTGTCCCCTGAGCCGCCAGTTCGGGAGTTGCGGCCAGATATCGATTACGCTTGGACTCGGTTCTCTATCCTGGAAGAACGAGCAATCTACCGGATGGCACATATCAAGCTCGCAAATCCCCGACGCGCGCTGTACTCGCAGGTCTTGTTGAGTAATTTCATGTATTCGTACTTGGCCAAGGTGCAACAGATGCACCCGCATATGATGCTCGCAACGTCAGCGGCTCAGCGACAGCAGCAGCGACAACAGGAAGAGTACCAACAGTACCAGCGGTATCACGAGGTAAGTTCTTGCTACCAAGGCCTTGGTAGGCATCTGCTGACTTTCCCTTCTACTTGCAGGCTCAGGAGCAACAGTACACAGACAGTTCCTACGATGATCCTCAGATGTATGAATATAGTGACGAGCATCAGGACCAGTACCGATCCCAGTCGCGTGGGAGCAAAGATGGCTACGACAATGGGAATGCATACGGCCCAGGCCATAGTCAATACGGTCATTCAACCTTTGGAGACGATATGCAGTTGGATGACGACGAAGACGATATGTGGTGATTGTGAATGGACAGGCTCTTCCCTTGCTACGGTCGAATAGTTGACGAGCATTTCTATACCCCTGCTTCTGTCGGAACGGGCGCCGTTTTGCAGCTTTGTACACTGGTGTTAGCTCCTATCTTCGGACCCGCGATATGTGGCAAATAGCACAACGAAAGAAAAGGATATGAGGGTTTCTGTTTCATATTCCACTATACACACAGGAAAGCTGCTGTGAACCAAGTTTATATAGTGCACTTTTGCATATTCCATGATGATGGCGGGGTAGTGCCTGATATGACCTGTTGTTGTTGCCTTGGCTTGATTTGATCGCATAGCGAGAGGGGTTGGCTTGATTTTCTATTCTTTACTGTCTGTATTAACGCTTTATTTTATCATAGAACCTGACCACCGACTGGAGGCTAGTAGCCATTGGCGGGGCTGACTTGATTCTGGCTGAGGATGTTTAAATAGCTTGTAACTTCTTTACATACTATGTCCCCAAGTAAATCATCCACCGAGGAGGGGGGCCGCGACCTGGCGATTGGTAGGGCACGTGACCACCGTCTCCCCCCACAAGCCTCCGCAGCGTCATCCAATCCACCCCCGGCCGGCCATGGACTCTTGACTTCCTCCGTACTCCGTGCTGCCTGAGACCCCGGTATTTTTGCTTCATCGTTCTTATCCTAATAGACAACGCACTCCGCTGCATTCACCTGATCTAATACCTCTGGAGATTCGGATCCCTCTACACCTCTCAAAACAACCTTGCACTTGTTTCTTACCCTCGCCCCGACCCTGAACCGAACAGCAACCACCGCGAAAATGGCCGAAGCCTACGAGCGCGAACAGTACGTTCCTCCCTTGATTCTCCCTGACCCTCCTCTTCGGCTTCGACGACAGATCGAACCCCTGGATAGTTTCGACTCTTGTTTCCGGACCCTACAGATGTGATAGTCCGGAAGATCTATACTGACATCCTATGGGGGTGAAATAGACAGAACAACGCCCTTCTCAACTCCCTCTCCTCGAAGGTCTCGGCGCTCAAGTCCGTGACGATTGATATTTATGATAATGCGCGGGACCAGGAGACGTTGGATCATTCGGTTCGTCTCCCCGGCACCCCGTTTTGAGTGTTTGGATGGGGGTTGGTTTGCGATTCGGTGGGCTGGATTCGGGGGTGTGTGGGGTTTGGGGCCTTTGATCGCAAGACTGACGTTTTTTTTTTCTTGTCTGCACAGAACCAAGTCTTCTCCTCCCTGTCCACGAATCTCAAGGGCAGCGCCAGTCGGTTGACCCGCATGGCGCGCCAGGGCGATACGGTCGCCGTGCTGAAGGTCGCGTGCATTGTGGTCGTGGCGGGTTTGCTAGTTTGGATGATTTTAGGGTGGATCTTTTAAGATCCTTTGCCCCCCCTCCCCCCCCCCTCTTCTCCGTCTATCTTGCTTTGGTTGGGGTTGTGGGATGGTTATTCAGGGTGGGTTGGGTTGGTGTCCGCTTTTTTCGTTGTGTTGCGGAGCGGAGCGGTGGTGGGCTTTGCTGCTGTTTGTTGATTCTGAGGGGAACGGGGCAGTAGGGGTATCATGGCTAGCTGGCTAGCTGTGTCTTTGATTTGCGGGAGGACGGGGTAATTTTCGGGACAAGTCGACTTGCGGGTTTCAAGGACTTGTTCTTTTCTTTTTCTGTTCGATTTATTTCTTATGGTGATGATGGGTTGGGATCGGGGTTGGGTTTAATGTATAGCGATGAATGGGGATTGTTGGTCCCCTTGCTTTACTTCTTCTTTGTGGTGTTTATAGTTTGTGTTCACTTGTACTGTACTTATAGGTTTGGTTTTAGGGTTATTTTAGACCGATGCATGTTTGTGGGTTCTTTTTCGCTTTTGTGGGGGCTGATATAAGGGTGGTGGGTGTATATTGTTTGCGTTTTTATGTTCAGGTACTGGCCTAAGTAGTGGGTTGGGGTGGATCGTTGCGATCCTCTGGTAGATCTTGTTGTTTTGTGATGGCCATGCCTTTCGTCTGTTGGTGTAGACATTAGCTGCTGTTTTGGTCGAGCCTATTTTGGTTTGCTGAATGTGCTGCTGCTGCTGTGAGGTTGGCTGAGGAAATCACAGCGTCGGTTGTCCGCTCTCTTTATGGCGGGTGCAGTACAGCTGAGCTGGAATCTGTTATACCCAGGAGATAGGATTGGTTCGCTATTTGTGTTTGTTGGAAGCTCGTGCATGACTGCTGTCCATGTATGAAATTCGTCTAAAATCTACCTGACTATCCCTCGCTGCCTTTACCACCTAATCTTGGGTCGGATCCCCTATCGGATTCTCGTAACAGAGAGACGAGTGGTAGGGTTATGCTTGCAACGGTCAGAGAATGCTGGTGTCTACTCAAACATTAGTGACAGCACCGTGGCTATGGCAGGCCACGTCAAACATGTACTTATTCTGCTTGTGGAACCGCTGAATACAGCCGTGTCAGTGCGTGCGGAGATATGATTCAACAGAGCAGAAACGCGGTGCTCCTAAGCCTGGCACAGCCACGGCGGCGATGGGATCAGGTCCAGATGAAGCGTCTAGTTGTCAGCATTCGTGGCAAGGCTTGGAGAGCAACCCGGACGGAGAAGAAAGCAACAAGTTCGATCAGTATCGAGTCGAGCAACGGTGGATTCAACAGCAAGTTTGTGAATAATGAGAATTGTACACAGTACAATGCGTTGAACATGGGCCGGCGAACAATACAACCATCCCCAAACTAGGCTCAACTCAAGAAGAAAACCGCTGCAGTAGAATATGAATGGACACGGACAAGCCGGGTGTACAATTCAAATTGCAAGTGTCTTTACCAGTGGAAACGCCTGTGCCACCGATAATGGATAGTATTTCCGCAGTAGTTTGAATCATTGGCCCAGAATTCTGTTGTCTGTCTGTGATGTAGGACGCTCAGGCGATGGCACACTTGTAGCCCTGAGAATCGACGCACTAGCACAACATGAGCACCACAAATTTGAGAGTAGGCTGTGTGAGAATGACTGGCTGAACTGGTTGGCTGAAGGGCTTGCCTCTAGCAAAATTGGTAATTAAGAAGAGCCGGGATGAAAGCGAATGAGAATCAGCAGCGGTGGTTGTGCATGTGTCTTGCAAGAGAGGCATTCTGGAACTTTTGTACAGTATCAGCATGCCGGTCAGCAGACAGGACCAGGCCCTTGATTGGGTACATGTATATGCAACAAACGCCACAATGCGCAGGTGGCCTGAGAGGTTTCGCGATCCCTCGCCGGAGATACCTTCTTTGGCATTTCCCCATAACGGATCGTGAGGGTTCAGTGGAACCTCGGCTTCGAGGGCCCTCCGGCCCAAGCTCAATGTGACGCATACCGGCTGGTCCGGGTGATCGTGCTAGGACGGGATGGTGGCTCTCGATGCAGCACACTTTGCGTCAGAGTCGTTACGTTCCCGCGGTGCAGATCCATTGACAACGAGTACGTATTACATGGGGGACGAGAGGCTTTGGCTAGAAATATCTTTGGGGACGATTCGCGGGCGAATCCAGGCTGTTCCATCCAGCACAGTGGCTTATTCGGACAAAGACACCTGGAGTGTCGAGAAGAGCCGGGGAGGTGGGTGGCCGATCATGTTGATAACAGTACGTCATGGCCGTCCGCCACAGAGGATTTGGAGATGATGCGTCCATTCACAAGCGATGGACACTCCCTCTGCCGGAGTCCAACCGTCCGTCATGGGGTATGTCTTTCAGATCGGATTCTTAGCCGTCAGGGAGGTCGATGGCTTTAAAGTCGGGAAGTCAGAAGATCGTTACAATGACCGGCGGGTGACTGCAGTGGATACAGTATGCGATCGCGCGATTATCTAATCGCAGCCTCGACCTCGGCGATTTGATATGATAAGAAAGAGTGGATGAAAGTGGATGAGAATGAGTAGATCTCACCCTGATCTGCATGTGCCAGTTGAATCATGATGCCCCAGCTGCAAAGGTATTTTCCGGCTCTCGTTTGTCTTTATGCGCTCCAGCAGTCCGGAACAGCATCACGGCAAGCTTTCCTTCTGAAAACAATCAGAAAGGGGCATGGCGCCATTTCCCTCGCACGTGAGCTCATCCTGTGAGAATGGGGCGATCGTGATATAGATGGTGGCGGCAGGGATTGTAGCGAACCTCGGCTGGAAGGTCGCGTAACTCGGGTAAATCGATAACGAGATAGAGATTCTCTTGCGACAATCGGACAATTGATAAGGGGGGAAAGGGTGGTTCCTGATAAGGAGGAGGGGTGAATGAACTTGGAAAAGGACGGCCGGGAAAAGAAACCGGACTTGAGGTTGAGGGTTGAGGGCCACGTGCTGCCCGCCGCTGCCGCTTGTTGGTCCTTAGGCACCTTAGGCACCTTAGGCACCAACAAGGCTCAATAGAGAAAGGAAGGCGGGTAGTTGAGTTGAAGGAGGACTGCTGCCCGACACGCCCACAGACTTAAAGCGTCCGTGCTTGGTACCTGGCTAGACTGCCAATGGTTCCGGTCATTATCATCAATTCATCACACTACAACCGCTAGACAGAGTCGTCTGAAATCCGAAGCACACTAACTGGTCACTACTACTGCAGGGGGAGAGTGGGCTGGCTGACTATCTGACTATCCAACTTTCCTCTACAGTACTCCCTGAGCCAGCATACTTGGTCGCGTCGATCCGCTACGGAAGCCAATTTCTGGTACAGGAGTACTTCTGATCTCATCATCTGGATCTTCATGATAAGTCCAATGGTCCATTCGGATTTTCCTATCACTGACAGTGATATGATGGCAGGTCTATGCCGAAAGGGGACACCGGACAGGACAGGGCTGGGCCGCAGGCCAGAGGACTCGGCAAGCCGAAAAAGGTCTATAGGCCCCTGGATCTTAACGGAGCACGGCATTCCGTGCCTTGTCTGACTCTTTGCTCCTGAGTCCTGAGTCCTGAGTCCTGAGTCCTTGGGCCCGTGCTTCGTCTAGACTGAATTGGTAACTGCACGATCAGAACTTTTTGGTCGCCCGTCTGTGGCGATAAACTGGCATGGACGACGCTTCATCAAGTGATCCTTACCCAATCCAGGTGCGGAGCTTACGTGCCTGTGTCGAGCACGTGCTGGGATTGTGTGGCTGCAAGACGAAATCTCCTTCGCAAACAAGCCTTCCGACCGTAAATGCCAAGAGCTATGAAGACTGTGTAGTTCCCTCTGTAGCATAGCGAAAGGGGAATCATGATGATTTCGGACCAGCTTGCGGAAGAGTGCCAGCCTGCCAGGCGAGAACGAGATCTTAAAAGTCCACCTCCGGGAGGATTTTTGAGTGATCATGATTTGTGGTTTGCAACATCCCGAAGCCACAAATCGCAAGTGGGCCGCCAAGTTGAATTTTGTTCTTGTATTCCGGCCCACCTGATTGAGTTTTCTGGCTCGGATGATGTGATCATTCGATGTGGTTCTGCAAATCACTCCTCCGATGATTTGGTTCGGGCCTTTCTTTTGTTCTTTTGACTCACCGCGTCGATTGGCATACAATTGTCTCATCCGTCATAGATAGCGATTGCAGACTTGACCATTCACTGACCGTCAGGGACCAAAATCTCTCTTGAGTCTTGACAACGGAGCAGTGGGCCCAGGCTCTTGTCAAGCCGAAAAATCTTAGCATCTGCTAAAACTAAAAGGGGCCTGGAACTTGCTTATCGCATCATAGTTTGCGTCAAGAGTCGCGACAATCTCCTTTCGCGACGAATGCAATCGGCGTCATTCTTACGGTATATACCGGCTGATTACCCTTGCGCTCTTTCTATTCCGAGGAATATCTGAGACGGGAATTCGTACTCATAGTCTAGCTTGCGATAACCATCGAAACTCCGGGTGCATGACAGGCGGCCGCCGAAAAGGATGCGGTTTCCCCCGACCCTTACCGGAACAGTCCCCGAGAGCGCCCGATAGCGGTGTATGATATTTGATGCATCGACAAGTTTAGTCTACCCGGGTCCACCGTCCCAAGTCGGATGGACTAGGTAAGAAGTGGTGGTGAGTAGCTACGGAGTAAACCAGAGGGTCCCGACTAGGAGATCGAAGTGTCCGTTCTAGAAGCCGGTCGGTCGCCCTCTCACATGAAATGTGTTTCTGATACACCTAGTATATGAATTCTGCTGGCGCTCCAATCCCCTAATTTGTTGACCCCCAATCGTGAGAGTTGCAGCCGAGCTTGCTGAAGTCACGTCCAGTGCGTGTGTGCTTTGCATCCTCGTGCGCTGAGCCGCAGTAGGGAATATTGAAGCTATGGATACCGTCTTTGGCTGGAGCTGTGCTGAGCTACAAAGCGAGCTGCACACATGTGCAATACGTGATTTCTTTTCTGAAAATAGAACCTGCCCTACTACCACGGTCATCGAAAGTAACTTGCTTTTACTCGCACTTGTCTCAGAATCGAAAGGCCAATGTAACACTGATAGTTAAAACTCCACACATTGTGCGTAGATTACGCCAACGCCCCGCCAATATCAAAAGTTTCGAAATCTGCCCCTCCTTTGACTCAATTGAGTGGTCTTATGTATGAGTACGAGTATATCGGTCGGTCACACCGATTCATGTTGCTAA